ATGGAAAGTATCATGCTAAGCGAAATGAGTCAGAAAGAGAGGGATAGACATAGAAAGATTGCATTCATCTGGGGGATATAAAGTAACAAAATATGAGATTAATACCCAAGAATAGCTGAGATCAGCACCAGGAGGATTACTCCATAGCTTAGTGGCCAGCCAGGCACTCTAGAGGAAAGGGCAGCTCAGATAGAGAAGGGAGCACCAAATAAAGGGTGTTTGGAGGATCCTCCCAGGAGGGGAGATGCATGTCAAAAGTAGACTATGGACTGAACATGTTTGCCACTCATTGCCTCTTTTGCTGAACACAACACTCAAAAGGAGAGAGAGAACAAAAGGGAATGCCCTGCCACAGTGGCAGGGGGGGATGGGGGGGATGGGGGGAGAGGGATATTATCCTGGTGGTGGAAAATGGGCACTGGTGGAGGGATGGGTATTTGATCATGGTATGACCGAAATCCAAGCACAAAAATTTGTAAATCTACAACTGTACCTCATGGTGTTTCACTAATAAAAAAAATCATATAAAAAAAGAAGGGAATTTTGAAAGTGAGCTTCATAGACTAACTTAAAGGTGCTCCGACTTTAAAGCATTTGTTTCAGTTCATTTGTTATTTCCAGTACAAATATCACTGCCCTCATTTTATGGCACCAGTTTGTCACATATTTGTAAATCTAATTTTTCATTTGTGAGTTCACCAGACCAATTTCCAAGCATCTATTCAGATTTGTTGATTTCCTCTCAAATGGCAGTGGTTTTCTATAAAGACAAGATGTCTATTTTGTTCATAGGCGTCAGAAGCAAAGTAACTACTTCCAAATGACAGATTTAAATACTCATATATTTGCTCTAATGTACTTATGCTACTTTTAAGTACAGTTTCTGGGCACAGTGCAAAGCTTCATAGTACAAAAGCAGGGGAGACAGCTTGTAAAGCTTAGAGGAATATTATTCAGCTTTCAATTGAGAATGGATGTAGAATTAAGAAAAAAACTGCAACAAAAATTTCATTCCCTTAGCTGTCTGTAAGTAGTTAAAGTTTAGCGAGCCTCATCTAACAAGAATGCTGCATCTTTTGTGGCACATGGTCTTCACCTGGAAAACTCAGTTTAAAATTTGACAGGAGCATACAATTTCTACCAGCCACTTCATTTAAATCACAAAATCTTTCCAGTCCCTCTTACAAATCCCTAAATAACACCAAAACAGGAATAGAATCAACCATAGCAGTGGCATTTACTATATGCAATTTAACTGTAATGACACACATAAGAATTTCTCATCATGAAGTTTTTTTTTCCCTGAGACATTAATGTCTTCCTATCAATGTGAAAAACAAAATCCAAGAGTAAAGCACACTGAGAGCAACACTTTTTCAGTTGGGAAAAATTATCTATTTAAAACTAGTTGATTTCCATCAAAAGACACAATCTGGAAGGTATCATAAATGTATACATGCAATACAGACATTGTTATCACATTTAGCTGCTGAGCATAAAGGATTTTTTATTTTGACTGAACTACAACCCCCCAAAACAAGATTAACGAGGGGAAATATTGATTTCCCTTGCTAAGGAACCTTTCCTTGCTCCCTCTCCAGGGTGTTGAAAAGTTGTCTCTGTTCTGTTTTCTTTATAGGGCCTCAGTGGTTGTTTTCTGTGCTCCTGTATTTAACTATAGACAACATAAAAGGCAAACAATGAAAGTGGCTCTAAAAAAAAAGAAGACTTCCCTGACTTTGAATAGATGCTGAAGCCATGCTACAGGAATCTAGCATCTTCTTTCCTATCCTCATCATTCTGAAAATGAAAAGGGAAAGGTAATGAGTATATTTGTTGATTTAGCAAATCAAAATAGAATGATGTGGAGTCTGTGTACATTAATACTGATAGAATTGACCAAACAATATCACTACCTTCACACCTCTTATTATGGTGACTAATTGGTGGTGTTGCAGAAATTGCATCAAGTCATTGTTTTTGAACAAAAATTAAAACTTTTAATGAATCACAGATGGCCATTCTAGGAAGACATCAATTCTGAATCAGTTTCATCATTCAGGTAAACTTTGGAACAGTATTGTTATTATGTTTTTGTTTTAATTTAGAATGCCAAGACACACTGTGCAAAAGGTCCAGAGCCCAAAGTCACACAAGGGTCCATATTAAACTCCAGTGACATTTCTATGGAAGGCTTCTGAATTCATCCAGGAGCACAGGGCACATGTGACTTTCCCTGAAGATCTCCAATAAAACAGCACACATGGAAGAAAACATGATGAGAATCCATCAAGCACATATGCCTTATCTGCAGCCACTTCCCTGAGAACCGGGTTTTGCTTTTGCAAAAGCAAATTTTGAAAATTTCCAAGAGCACAGAGTCAGAGAGAGCTGATAGATCAAAATATACTTAATTGGAATATTGATGTACCAAAGGCAATCTGCAAAGACAAGCTTTTATTATTTTCCATAGGAATGAATATTCAGCAACTGAGAATTGGATTCACAGAGATTTTTGCACAAAAGATAAAATTATACAATATTTATATAAATTTAAATTTCTACAAAAAGGGAGAAAGATTAAATGTTATCAAGAAAAGATGATGAGGCCTATTAAGTTCAAGTAACAGATTCTTTGAACTACAAGACAGTTCAAACAGTTCACATAAAATGAGGTTTAGTTTATTCGGAGGGAAGGGTTCCTCATTCTGAAAATTAGAAAATGAGGGGTTTTGAAGTTAATGCACTGTTGAGGTGTGATTATCTGAACCAAACTTCACTCTCTGAAGAGCCTAATTTCCTCTATAGTGGCCTGATCTTGCCCTGGGAGAACTTTGAGAAGATGACACTGGTTTGTGAGGGGGATTCAAGTAGAACACATTCATTACTTTGGCAAAAGAACCCACCTCGGCAAGCCTAGTTGATGGGTCTAAAGCAGTTGTTAAAAAGCACATTCCTTTGCTTACTATTGTTTATTCTTTCTGACTTCTGAGAATTATCAAAGTCATTTAGATGGTCTCAGTGCGTGGTTTAGAAACATTTTGTTACCTTTCAAGTAAGAAAGGTCAACTGTCTGGGTTTTCACAAAACACCAGGGACAGGAGATAGGACTGTGATGGAGTATATACTTGGCTCATAGGAGGCCCTGGATCCTCTGCAACCAAAAAATAAGAGACACAGAAATCTTTTCTCTTTTTTACTAAGATGTGGCCTCTGGACGCCATACTTTTCTTAACTTCATTTCATATACATTACCATTCAAGGAAAAACTTTTCTTAGACCTTCCCTCCACGCCCCACCCCATCCCACCCCCATAACATGTTTGGTTTATTTCTAGGTGCTGGCTTCTAACACAATTGACATGACATGTGTGCCCCTCTCAGCCCATGCCATCTGCAATGAAAAAAGTGCCTGTTTTATAAGTGAAAAGAAATCAAAAGGAGGGACCAGAGCAATAGTACAGTAGGTAGGGTGCTTGCCTTGCATGCACCCAATCAGGGTTCAATCTTTAGCACCCCAAATGGTCTCCCCAGCCTGCCATGAATGATCTCTGAGTGCAGAGCCCAGGATAAGCCTTGAGCACCACTGGGTGTGGCAAACCAAAAAACAAAACTTGAAATTAAGTTGAAGCAGGAATAAATGTTTCCTTGGTAAATCAACAAAACCCAAACATCTGATTCCACAAGTAAATTTCACCTATAGATGAGTTGGTTTGAAGCTGAAATGGTTCATTACTGTACTTGCATAGATCATTATAAATTATGGTATATTTGACTTAAAGATTCACTGGCAATCTTTAAAGATCCAAAGATATTTGTTAAAGGGCTTTTTATATCATGAAAGTATTGTACATACTAACTATAAAAATAGTAAGAGATTTACAATAGGATATTTTTCCAAACTATATAAGTGATTATTTTTCAACCACTGAAAATATATTTAACTATATCATCTTCAATCACGCTAAAAATATGTAAATGTAAATAAAGATAAGAAAAATCCAGGATAAGAGAGGAGCAAATAAGAAGCATAATTTCAGCTTTCAGATACTAATTATATAGAATTAAAGTGTTCTTTAAGAAGTTAGAAGTGCAGTTTGATTTGGCAATCTGGGCATTTGTTGACCTCATACCAGTTATAAAAGCCAGTTGAAGAGACTTTAGCTCATTAAAAAATCTAGGAATTTAACATCAGAAATTCTCCTTACATAGGAATCAGATACTGTTTGGTGTTCTGACTTCTCTTATTCAGGGACATTTCAATTAAATAGAGAAGAAATGTATTTTATTATATAACTTATTTTCATTTCAAGTTCCCACATTAAATTTTCTTAAACAAATATAAGTCATTTTAGCAGGGAGGGACTTAGATTAAGAAATATTGCATTTCTTTCATAGATTTGATAAGTTCCTCAAAGTGCTCTAAAAAACACTATAAGTTTGATTAGCAGCAAAGCATTAGCCTAATAAAGTCATCCCTCCCTTACATATATGTACATATATACACACTGTACATTAAAATATATACCTATTAGTCTACCTTAAATCTGACATTTTGGACTGTTATTCTTGGAGGCTGTACACGGTTACAAATACTGTCTACTCTGGATCATGGTTCAAGACCACTGACACCCAAGAGGTTAAGATAGAACCAATCCTTTCATAAAAACAAACCCACCCCCACCCCCCAAGTTGAAATATATATTGTGAATTTCTTTTAAAATTAAAAAAAAATATTGGGGAATACAGTGAATCACCCAATATATTATCATTCTGGGTCCTATAATTTTCTCTACTCAAAACTAATTTTATACATGAAGGGCAATATGTCGTCAAGCACAGTTTCAGCAACCTAAGTATAAAATATTCCTTTAAAAAATGTTACAGAGATCTATTTTTTAATGTGGGGAGGAGAGTTCTGCAAGGATCGGGCTTTCTTCTCAGAGATGAATCTTGCAGAGATTTCTCCCAGGAGCATGCGGAGCACAGCCTAGGAATGAAACCTGCAAGCAATGCAAGTTGTCACAGAGCTCAGCGCCAGACCTCCAGAAAGAGGCCCAGTAGGCAACATGGCATCTTGGTCTTTTCTCTTCTACAGTCTTCTAGCAGCAGCGCCCAATTCTTGGCCATAACTGGCTGAGGTCCAGAACTTGAACTTGAACTGGGAAAACCATCTCATTCCAAATGCAGCTTTTTCATCTTTTGGTTGGGTGAGTCTTGGTGCCCCAGGGATAAGAGTGATACCTAGAAGATTCAGAAATGGAAAGAGCTCACTATAGTTACCAGTATTTCAGCCCAACTTCAAGTAGTAGCTCATGCACTGTAGCACTGTAGCACTGTCCTCCCGTTGTTCATTGATTTGCTCGAGCAGACCCAGTAACGTCTCCATTGTGAGACTTGTTACTGTGTTTGGCATATTAAATACGTCATGGGTAGCTTGCCAGGCTTTGCCATGCGGGCAAGATACTCTCGGTACCTTGCCAGGCTCTCCGAGAAGGGCAGAGGAATCAAAACCGGCTCAGCCAGGCCAGCTGCACGCAAGGCAAAGGCCCTACCGCTGTGCTATCACTCCAGCCCAGTAGTTCAGGCATATAAGTAAATCATAATGAATATAAAGGTAATCCTAAACACAATAGGATGAAAACAGTGCTAGAAAGCTGCTTCTTGTTGAAGTTCGTGTTAAACTGACAATTTACTAGGGTCTGAGAACCCTGTAAATGAAAAAGGTATGCTTTCAAAGGGGCTTAAGTATTTAAATGATGATGTGCATAAAATGTAATTTACATGTTTATCATCAAGTGATTGTGGACAAAAAACAGCTAATTGATTTCAAGTAGATTTCTTTTAATCCTGTCTCTTGATATTTCACATTTTGTTGTTTAAAATATAATTTTTAACTGTGTACCTCTAAACATATAAGATGACGTGCTTTGGGGCTAGAGAGCTTGTACAGAGGTAAGGCAGTTGCCTGGCATATTTCTACATTAGCTGTAATACAGAGTTTGAATTCTGGTCATTAGATAAGGTCCCATGAGCACTGCCAGTCCCTGAACACTGCCTGGTGTGCCCGCCCAAAGAAAGGTACCCTCACTCCCAATGACATACTTGTTGTTTGTCATTTAAAGAACTCAAACATTTGTACTCTCATAAACAATGGTAAAACTAAGGTAAAGAAATTGAAGGTTTGTATAAATAGATAATCATACAACCCTGCAAATGACCAAGAACAGAGGCTATTTCGGGTTTGTCAGGTTTGATCTGAGCTTGTGTCATCTTAAACACACTGTTGTATTTTCAATTCAGTCCTACCTTCCTTTTTAAGTCCAGAGTGACAAACCATCAGTTTTAGTTAAGGGTTTCTTAGCTGCTATTACTACATTAATAATTTTTTCTCTACTGCAACATTTTATGCCTAAAACATTCTTACCAAAATCTATTATTTAAACAATTTTAAAAATCTTTCCCCAAAGACAGCTGGTGGCTAGATAATGTCTTTATTCCAAGATTTTCAATCTGACAATGGGTTTTCTCTTTAGCAATGGCATATCTCTAAATACCAACTCTATGATCTAAGTGTATCTTGGTGTTATACTTTGGATGCTACCTGGCTGCATTGTCAATGTGTGTTTTCATTTCAACTGATATTTTTTGATATATTGCAAACTTGAATAATACAGGTATTATTAATATGTAATAATATAATTGATATATTAGTATGTAATAATCATAATTAATGTGCATGGTATTTTACAAATATAACTTCATAACATTTTGCAAAGATGATGACATAAGAATAGCCATGGGTCTGTGTAGATACTGGTAGAGGAGTTAAAACGTTTTCATATCCTTTTTTCCCCTATCTTGACACTTTTTAGCTCAAGAACCTCCATACAGAAATCCTATGTCACTTCTAATCCAATCTCTTCCTCACTCTCTTACCCACTGCTTGATAATCTCAATCTGCCAAAGACCATGGGGTTATCTTTATTCAAGATTACATATTCCCTTGTTTCATTTCTCTATATACTATACTTGTGCTATCATGAATTATATTAGCCAGTATTTGTTTTTCTCCCTCTGATTTATTTCACTTAACATGATGCCCTCCAATTCTACCCAAGTTATAGCAAACTGCAAGATTTCACGTTTTCTTTCAGATGCATAATTTATCATTTGTATAATAACACAACTTTCTTATCCATTCTGTTGTTTAGATATTTTGGGTTATTTCTATATCCCTTACAGCCATTATGCTGCAAACATAGGTGTAAATACTGTCACTGTCACTGTCCTCCCATTGTTCACTGATTTGCTTGAGCGGGCCCAGTAATGTCTCCATTTTGAGACTTTTTAAATTATTTGTGTGCTCCTAGATAGATATCAAGGAGTGAGATAACTGTGTCATATGGAAGCTCTGTTATAAGTTTTTAAAAAAGTCACTGTACCATACTCCATGAAGTTTAGACCAGACAACATTTTCACCAACAGATAGTTATAGGAAAGTGAAACAAGTTTCCTTTGAATTCACATATTCTCCAGAACACTGATTGTTTCCAGACTTACTCATACACACCATTCTTGCTTGTGTGAGATAATATCTCATTGTTGTTTTGATCTGTATTTCCAAATAACAGTGCTAATGAACACTTTTCCAGGTGCCTGTTGGTCAACTATATGTCCTCTTCAGGGAAGTGTCTATTCATCTCTTGTGCCTTGTTTATGGAATTACTGGTATCTTTGTTGTTGAGCTTTGTGAATGCTCAACATATATCCAAAATATCCCTTTGATGTATGTCCTGAAAAGAGTTTCTCCCAATAGAAAATCTTTTTATTTTAGTCTGAGCTTCTTTTTCCATGCAAAAACTTTCTAATTTTATGTTGTCCCATTTGTTTTTTATTTTTGTTTTCTTTCCATAGAGTTGAATCATTGAAGAAACCCCTGAGATCCATAACCTGGAGAGATCTATTTTCATCAGTGTATTTTATGGATTCTGGTCTAATCTTGAGATATTTAATCAACTTTGAATTAATTTTTGGGAATGGTGTAATACAAATACAGCTCTCCTTCACCTCCTCTCCCTTCTACTCCTCCTCCTCTTTGCATGTAGCTTTCCAGTTTTCCAAACACTATTTGTTGAATGGGGGTTATCTCTGGACTCTCAATTCTATTCCCTTTGTCTTAAAGTCTATCCTTCTTCCAGTACCACAACGTTTTGAGTACTATAGTTTTATAGCATGATTTTAAATCAGGGACTGCTATTTATCTCATCTTTTCTAAAAATTATTTTAGCTATTTGGAGAGTTTAATGGTTCCATACAAATATTAAGGTAAGGTAAGGTAAAGGCCCTCCCGTTGTTTGTTGATTTGCTCGAGCAGGCCCAGTAACGTCTCCATTGGAGACTTTGTTGTTACTGTGTTTGGCATATCGAATACGTCACGGGGAGCTTGTCGTGTGGGTGAGATACTCTCGGTAGCTTGCCGGGCTCTCCGAGAGGGGTGGAGGAATCGAACTTGCATGTTGGCTGCGTGCAAGGCAAATGCCCTACCGCTGTGCTATCGCTCCAGCAATACTAATACAAATCCAGCAACTACTAATACAAATATTAGTAGTGATTTTTCTAAGTCCTTGAATAAAGTCTTTTTTTATGAATTGTACTGCATTGTATTTGCATGATACTTGCAAATTATCAAGTGAGTGGGATGGTCATCTTGACTATGTTAATTCTTCCAATATATGAACATAGTTTCATTTTCTGGTGTCCTATTTCTTTCAAGAGTGACTTATAGTTTTATACTAATAATTTTTTTTTACCTCCTTTGTTAAGTTGATCACAAGGTACTTGATGTTTTTCTAAACCCTTTTTTTATCTTTATTAATTTTTATAAGAACTCATAGTTTATAGTCATTGTTTTTTTAGTGCAGAGCCACTACCTCAATTCCTCCATCACTGTTTCAAGATCCTTTCACCATCATTTCGTGGCTCCTCTCCTCTCCTCTCCTCTCCTCTCCTCTCCTCTCCTCTCCTCTCCTCTCCTCTCCTCTCATCTCCTCTCTCCTCCCCTCCCCTCCCTTCCTCTCCTCTCTCCTCCCCCCTCCCCTCCTCTCCTCTCTCCTCCCCCCTCCCCTCCCCTCCCCTTCCCCCCACCCCCCTCCCCTCCCCTCCCCTCCCCCCTACCCCCCTCCCCTCCCCTCCCCTCCACCCCCCTCCCCTCCCCTCCCCTCCCCTCCCCTCCCCTTGCCACCTCAGTTCTAAAATTGTCTTTTTCATTTCTTGCTCTTCAATTTTTTTGTTTTCATATGAAAAGTGCAACAGATTTTTGTGTGTTTTTTTTTAATCCTGCTACTTTGCTGTATTTGTCTATTGTTTCTAAGAGCTATTTTTTTTTTTGTACAGGGAGTCTTAAGGGAGAATCTATACTTCCCATTTCCAGCCACATTGGGAGAGCAGCTATTAGTGCCACAAAACTGAGAAAAGTACTGAGGTTAAAAAAATCAAAAGACGTTTCTTACAGTGCATCTCAGTCTTCAGTAAAAATAATCATTTAACATACAACTAAGACTCTGCATTAGTAAACTGTAGAGTCTCTCACCCAAGAAATTTTCCATTATTTCTATAAGAAACTGAGAGTAGGAATATCATGTCTTGGTATATTTTTAATGACTGATTCTTATTTCAAGACTATTTTATGTAATCTTTATTATATATTAATGGAATTTGGTCACTTAAGCATGTCTTTATTCTTATAATGATGGATAAAATTGTGAATATTATTGTTCCTATTTAGGTGATCTCACTATTATTGTAATAGTGAGATTTGCAAGGTCTTTCAATACAGGGATTTTTCTTTAGAAGTAGTGGATCACGGTCATGAACATGATCATCCTGTTGTTCATTGATTGCCTCAAGCAGGCACCAGTAACGTGTCCTTCGTCCTAGCCCTGAGATTCTAAAAAGTGCCACATTCAAGGCTCTTTCAGGGTCAGGAGAATGAGACCCATCATTGTTACTGGTATTTGGCATATTGGGTACACCACATTTGGCATATTGGGTATACCAGGGGGAGTTTGCCAGACTCTGCCGTGTGGGCAAGTTATATTCGTAGCCTGCCAGGTAGTCCAAAGCAAGAATTCAAATATGTAAATGATGCTGAAATTGCACTAGTGTTGCAATGTAATGCTGTCAGTGCTGGCACACATCTTTACCCACTGGCATGTACGGAGAAACATGCAGAGTCCTGCCGGAAAGCCCAGCTTCACCATGGAGCCGGCTCCTTCTGGCTCCTTCTGCTTCTGGTTCCGGCTCTCTTAGAGCCGGGTAGGTCTAGTTCTAAAGACTTTGTCAGAAGTAGTGCATGATTTTTTAAAATATTATCTTAGTGAAATTGATAAAGGATAACCATAAATTTCAAAATAATACTGAAGTTGATATATTTTTACAAAGGAAAACTAAAGCTCCTTCCAGAGCTTCCATAACCTCCTCACTTTTCATTATTACTACTTAGCTTTTGCAAAAATAGAGTTTTTCTTGAGAAAATCACGGATTTTAAAAACATATGAAACATCACCTTTGCCCCAATACAAGCTAAGGCACTTAAAATAATAAGATGCTAAAAGTGAAGGATGGAGACATTCCTACTATCCATAGAAGGTGCAATGCACTCAGCCCCAAAGTAGGAAATGATATTCAAAACCTCTCCAGGGAAGGTAGGAGGTGAGTGATAATGGAGATGGTGAATTCTATGAATAATATGCCTTTAGAAAATTAGAATTACTCATCATTTCTCTACAGTTACAAATCACAACAAAGCTAAATTTAAAAAGGTAGTGTTTTGAAAATATATTATCAAACCAAAAGAGCAAGTAGTTGAGTAATCTTATGTGTGATTCATAAGAACAACTCATTTGAAATAGGAGGAAAAAATATTCTGGAGACTGCACTAACCAGAAAAAGAAAAAAGAAATCAAATTCCTATATAATAATCTTAACAGGAGGATTTTGAGATCTCTTTCTCTTCCTGGCTGGCTGGTAGTTGCCTTAGGCATAGACTAATCTGCCTTAGGCATATTTAAATGGTCATCATAAAACAGTTCCCTTTACTGATAAGGAAGGCAATTCTTCCACAAGACTATATCGCCTCTAAAGTAAGTTTGAATCCCAGATAACATGCATGTGGCTGCTTATGATCAACATGATGATTCAGCTGTGAGTGGGCTCCCTCGAAAAGTCAAGAGACAACTAGTGTCTAGTTGGCACTCTCAGCGCTCATAGCCTCTCATCCATGCCACTTCAAAGCATTCTGGCTGAGTCCAACTGCCAAAACCTATATTTCTCCTCCTGAGCATTTCTCTGGCCACTAGCATCTGCTCTGTCCACTCTTACAAGAGGGACCCAAACAATAAGGAGCTTATATCCCCTGGGGAATGTCCTCAAACAATGACTGAAGGAAACTGGAGAATAAATAAGCCAGTTTTTTTTCCCTCAGGGGATGCCTGAGGTGCCCTGGTCCACAAGCCTTTCACAGTCACCCACAAGATAACCTGATTGAAAAGGAAATGCATGAGGGATGATTGTTTAATTGCATTTCTCCACTTGATTCTATGCAAATAAAAAGTAGATTTTGGAGATGGGAGGAGTGATCATTAAGCACAAAGCCAGGAGTAAGCATTGAGTATCACCAGGTGTGCCCCAAAACAAACAAACAAAATCAAATAAAATAATAATTCTGGGGCAGAAATATTATATAGTGAGTAGGATGTTTGCCCTGCATGCAGCCAACCTGGGTTTGACCCTGGCATCCCATCTGGTCCTCTCAGCATCAACAGGGGTGATCCCTGAGCTCAGAGCAAGGAGAATGCCCAAGAACAGGTAGGCGTGTCCCAAAAGCAAATGAAGAAACAAAAATAATCTATAAATGCTTTTCCAATTCATTATATTCATTTTTTGAGTTCATTTACAACTATATCATATTTTTCTTTTCCAACAAAACATAAGCAGCTACAGCATTACAAAAAATAGATAATATCTAATGCCCAATTAATTAAAGATTAATTTAATTAATCTTTCATATTTGAGGGAAAATCCTGGATCTTACCTGTTTGATGTAAAATTATAATAACCACTTTCTTCTAGGACTTCTTCAATCACAGTCTAAATGAAAAAAAAATAGGTTAGTATTGAATTAAAAGAAACAAAATAAAATTCTTCTGAGGTATACCGCAAAAAATATCTCACCTGCATCTGTTCATATGTTATCCCTTCCTCCAAATCAAAGCTGGTGGCTAGACCTGAAATAGACAAATTATGGAAAGTATGACATTTGCTTTATATTTTCTTAGATTTTACTGGCCACTGACTCAACTGCAGTGAAACCAGGTCAATTTCTTAATGAGGAAGATGAGTGTTTATAAGCATATTCCAATTACCTTGGCATTGAAGATAAAAACTCTGCCTCTCTTTCCTATGAATATTAAACAGCCCTGGCTGCTCTTCAGATGGGCATCACTATTGCATAAAGCTGTGCTAATGCTGCTCATGATAAAAAAAAAATAGGCCAATTAGGTTGTCTGTCTGTTTTTCTGTATGTGTGCATGTTAAACACAGCTGAAGAGTGATCCAAAAGCAATGAAGTTTTCTGAAGAAGAAACTCCCTAAACCACAAGGCAAACAGAGTGGCTCTGTACCAGAAAGAAAAAAAAAATCCTAGAGGAAGGTAGAAACAGCAAAAGACAACAAAGACCTGGCCTTTTCATTTAGCTGCCTAGGGGGAAATAAATTTCGTAATCCCAGAGGCAATTTTTTTGTGTGTTATTCCTGGTACCTTCACAATCCCTGTCACCACCCAAAGCAATGTGGCCCAGGTTCCCATTCAAACCAGTCAATATGGATATAGATGAAGGTCCCATTCATTTGTGTCTTAGGGAGAGAGAAAGGGGAATGGAGGGAAGAAGAAAGGGAGCATGAGGATATGTGCTCTGCAGGGTGTTCTGAAAGGCCAGCTTCATAATCCTCAAACTGCAGATTACAGTGTTTTCTGTCTGACACAGCCTGCAGCCATATGCAGCCATAGACCACTGGGTCTACTCCCAGGTGGGGTGTCCAGCGGGCCCCCAAGGAATCTGTCAATTCCCTCTCGGGCTATTGGGATATGTCCACCAGAGCACTTCATTTCATCAAAGCTGTCACCATAAGGTCTGGTCCATTCTGGGAGATGTGTTTAAAAGTAAAAGACTTAAAATAACATTTTATCTGGATCTTACCAGCTTTGCAAGGACTATTTTCAATGAAATTCAGCCTATACACAGATTAGCTTTATTACCTTTAGGAATAGCCTTAGAGGAAGTTTAATAATACATTAAAAAAAACTTGTCTGAATTTGCCACAATAAAAGCATAATAGAAGTGTGTGACTTTCTAGACCTAGGAGGTGGTCAGAGACTTCATTTCACCATAAAAGCTTAATTTTTGGCCACTCCACTGAGCAGCTTAAGTATAATTTACAGGAGTTAAAAAATTATTTAGGGAGTCTGAAACCTCAGAGTGGCTTGCAAAACCTCTTCTTAAAGTTCACGTATGGTAAGAATGTTACATTATGATTAGCCCTTACTACTAGTCAAAGCATCTTTTGTATGTCTACACTGATCCTCGATATAGCCCCTTGACGCAAGCTAGGAAACTGCAGAGAGATCAAACTATTTACCAAAGGTCAGCTACTAAAATGATTGAGCTTAGATTTGAATCTGGAAACCTGAGTTTTTAATACCTACATCAGACTGCCAATCTATGTAAGATTCATGCATTAAAAAAAAACCTGAAGTGTTTCTACTATAGATTCTTCAGGTAGTTTTTAAATTTTCTCTATTTAAACTATGTAAACTCTTCACTTCTGCTTTTTGTTTTTTTAATCTCCCTAGATACTTCTGGACATTCAATTTCTCCTCATCAGAGAGGAAGAAATAAAAGGAAATTCATCCACACCAAGTCTACTTTTTGTTTAGAGTATTAATTGGGAATTAATCAAGGAGTTAACCACAACTGAATAAAATAAGTCTCTGGGAATTTCGAGATTCCCACACCATGTGCCTTCCAAATATTGCCATAGATCAACAAAAACTCCATTATTCTTTCAAATTGAAGACAATCATTTAAGGAGCACTGTTGCTCTAAGAAATCAATTTCTTTGGTGAAAGCAGGATTTCCTGAGCTGGTGACCATTACCTGTGGGGTCATTTGGGGACAGGCTGTTCCCACCAGATGAATGACGCAGCAAATGATAATCCGTGGTGAAAAAGTTGGGCTCAATAGGTTCTGGAGATCCTTGTGATAACTGAAACAGGAAAAATAAAAACACAACTTACTTTAAGTCAGAGGATTTTCATTTTCCTCTGCCTGTACCACAGGTGGGGTGGGGGTGGGTGAGGGGAAGTGTTCTCTGGTTTTCAATCTCTTGTGAACAGATAAAGGCACATCTTTTTTCCTTCCAAAAGAACGTATACATTGGAGAGAGGAAAATTTAAAAGCAACTTTATACAATTCCCTGATCACATTTGCATAATTCCCTATACCTTATAGCTTTATGAGAACAAAATAAAAATGGTTAAGGAAATAATGGCATGGGCCTGGGACATTCAAACATTATTTTTGTCAGACGTAGGAGGAATAAACTCAGATTATTCAACAGAACAATATGTTTAGACCAAATCAAAATCATTTCTCCTAGAGCTGCTTTTAGAGTGCTTTCTTATTTGACCAAGGCAGGCAAGTTACTCAGTACATTTTGCTAAATTACTATTAATTAATTTTTATTGCCAAACATGAATTCCCAATACTCCATCTGAAAGAACAGTTCACCAAATGACAAAATTTATTATACTTTCAATTCCAATTTTTCTTTTTCTTCTGTCTTGGGGCAACACCGAGCAGTTTTCCAGGGCTATTCCTAGCTCTGCACTTAGGAATTAATTCTGGTGGTGCTCAGTGGACAATATGGAATGCCAGGGATCAAATCTGGGTCGGCTGTGTGCAAGGCAAGCACCCAACCCACTGTTCTGCCACTCCAGCCCCTAAATTCCAATTTCTTAATGCCCTATTATCCTGCTATAAAACTGAAATTTTTGTCAGGGATGTATTTTAGCAATAGTGTGCTTGCTTTGTATGTGTGAGGCTTTAGGTTTGATCATAGTACACACACTAAACAAAGGCAAAAAAAAAAATACCTACTTAAAAGTTACCATGGGCCTGGAGCGATAGCATAGCGGGTAGGGCATCTGCCTTGCACGGGGGTGACCTGGGTTTGATTCCCAGCATCCCACACGATCCTCTGAGCACCACCAGGAGTAGTTCCTGAGTGCAGAGCCAGGAGTAACTCCTTTGCATCGCTGTTTGTAGTTCTCTTTTTGATGTGCGCCAGAGTCTCTAATTCAAGGTGACATCTCATTGTTGTTTGAATTTGCATATCCCTGATGATTAGCAATGTAGAACATTTTTTCATGTGCCTCTTGGCCGTTTGTATTTCTTCTTTGGGTAAGTTTCTGTTCATTTCTTCTCCCAAGTTTTTGATGGCATGAGAGGATTTTTTTTCTTATAAAGTTCTACCAGTGCCTTATATATCTTGTATATTAACTCTTTATCTGAGGTATATTGGGTAAATAATTTTTCCCATTTCACTGGCTGTCTATGTACTTGGTTACCATTTTTTGGCAGTGCAGAAGCTTCTTAGCTATTTATCTTTGCTTCCACTTACTTGGTCAGTGGTGTTCATTTTTAAAGCTGCCTTTAGCATCAATGGCATGGATGGTTCTGCCTACACTCTCCTCCACATACCTTATGGATTCAGTCTGAAACTGAGGTTTTTAATCCATTTTCATCTGACTTTTCTGCCTGGCATTAGAAAGTGGTCTAAATTCTATTTTTTTTGTTTTTGCATGTAGCTGGGCTGGAGTGACAGCACAGCGGTAGGGCGTTTGCCTTGCATGCAGCCAACATGGCCGACCTGAGTTCAATTCCTCCGCCCCTCTCGGAGAGCCCGGCAAGCTACCAAGAGTATCTCGTCCGCATGGCAGAGCCTGGCAAGCTCCCCGTGATGTATTCGATATGCCAAACACAGTAACAACAAAGTCTTGAATGGAGACGTTACTGGGCCCGCTCGAGCAAATCGATGAACAATGGGAGAACTGTGATGTGAATGTGATGTAGCTGCCCAGTTTTCCCAGCACCACTTGTTGAAGAGACTTTCCTTGCTCCACTTCACATTTCTTGCTTCTTTGTCAAAGATTAAGTGAAAATATTTTTGAGGGTCTGTCTCAATATATTCAACTATATTCCACTGGTCTGTGGTTTTGTCTCTGTTCCATTACTAAGCTGCTTTAATTACCACTGCTTTGTAGTATAGTTTGAAGTAGGGGAAGATGATGCCTTCCATCTTCTTTTTCCCAAGGATTGCTTTTGATATTCATGGGGGTTTATTATTCCATATGAATATCAGGAGTATTTTGTCTATTTCTTTGAGAAGTCCTGGGTATCCTTATAGGGACCATATTGAATCTGTTCAATGCTTTGAGGCATATTACCATTTTAACACTGCTAATCCTTCTAATCCATGAGCAGGAGATGCATTTCCATTTCCTCATGGTCCTCTTTTATTGTTTCTAGTAGCTTTATGGTAGAGTCTTGAGGATTTTCTTGGTACAGTACCATGTCATCTCCAAATAGTGATAGCTTGGCTTCTTCCTTTCCCATCTGGATGTCCTTGATAACTTTTTCTTGCCTTACTGCTATAGCCAGTACTTCTAATACTTATTGAATATTAATGGGTGTTCATATACATTTAAAATATCAATTCATTTAAAATAAACAAACAGCTTAATTTGAACTATGCAATAGTAGTTACCTTGGATTCACATACTCTCTTCATGAGTTAAAATTTGTCATTCAGTGTTGAAGAGATAGTACAAGGTTGATGCAGACTTTGCATGCTGTTTAGCCTGATTAAATTCCTAGCACCACATAGTCTCCTAAGAATCACTGAGTATCATCCCTGAGCAGAGAGCTGGGGGTAGTCTCCTGGTATCACAGAAAATGGAAAAACCATACCCCTCCCAAATGTCATTGTTCAATCACTTGAGAGAACTTTTCAGCATTATAAATTAAAATTAAATAATATATGCCTACCCTATTACTCAGAAATCCAACCCTATACACACACAAAAAATAAATACTTCTGTCTTTAACAGGTATGTAAAGAATTTTGGGGGCACCTTTACTCGGACAAAAACAGAACTAAAAAGTGTGAAATGTCCAAGAACAAAAGGATAGTGGTGAGCTCCTTTAGTGGAGATTTGCCAATCTAGAAAAATAAAAAACTATGGACACACATAACAACATGAATAAATGTTAAGCAAAGAAGGCCAAAAACAAATGAATACAAAGTATATGTCTGCATTTATACATTTTCATAATCAGACAGAGCTAACAGTTACAGGAAGTTGATTGGAAGTGGTGGGTCATGACCATGAAAGTGTAAATGTATATGTGTGCATGCAGAATTAAGTGCATATGTGTGTGTGTGTGTGCGCATGCAGAAGTCCAAGGAGTTGTATACGTACCTGAATGCATTATGTATGTTATATCTTAAAAACACTTTATGCTATCAATTGATCATTATTCTATATAATTTAAATACTGTAAATGCAAATCACTTATGTATTTTTCAGTTTCCGTTTTTTAAAAAAAATATTATGCTCTAAAGGAAAGTATGGTTGCATACATTTTTACTACTGAACATTCTTTTTCCTTACCTTCTTACCACTGAAAAAATGAACAACCCATCTCCAAAATGACAATTGTAGACTTTAACATACCCTTATGCAAGAGAATCTGATAGTCACATGCTTAACAGGTTTCTTATTAGTGCTATTTGGTTATCATGGAAGTAACATTTAGCATTCTGCATTTTTTTTCATATGCAAGCTTGTAGGTTGCTCCCACGAAGCTTCTTAATATGTCTTGTAATACTGAAAATGATTTCCTGCTATTACCTTCTAAATGACTTGAGATGGGATTTTCATATAGTTTAGCAGAGATGCAATTTACTGCCTGAAATGTTCATCCTAATTATAGAAGGCTCATTTAAGTCAATTAACTTATTAAGAATACACCTTGGAATCTTAAAGATTTCATAGATAAAATGTTTACAGCTGCACAGTGAAGTATGTGAACTGCAATCTGAAGAGGCCCAGATAGCCATTTTAAGATGACAAATTCTTTTCATGGACTCAAGCCTTAAAGTTTCCCAGAATTTTATTTTGCAATTTAGTTTATTGGCATAAGGATTCTTTCAATAAACACTTTTTTCCTCTTATTCTATGATGAAAGTATGCATTATGATCTAACTTTGTCAAATAGAGATAAAAATAAATCAATCCATGGACTGGAGCAATAGCACAGTGGTAGGACATTTGCCTTGCATGCAGCTGACCCAACCAATCCGGATTCAATTCCTCTGCCCCTCTCAGAGAGCCTGGAGAAGCTACCCAGAGTATCTCGCCCACACAGGGAAAGCCTGGCAAGCTACTCGTGATGTATTCGATATGCCAAACACAGTAACAAGAAGTCTCAAAATGCAGATGCTACTGGGCCGCTGGTGCAAATCGATGAACAATGGGAGGACAGTGACAGTGATACAGAGTATCTATCCAGCATATTCCTGCCATGTTGGGGACCATGAAAGGCAAGAGATCTCTGTGAAACACACAATTTTACTAGGTAAAGGTGAAATAACAGGGAAATGCAATGAAGATGTAAGTGAGAAAGTAGATGATAAGTTCTAAACCTACAAAATGAAGGGGGCTTTATAAAGACTAGCATGGTTTGCCGAGACCTTTTGATAGAAGAAATGATGGAATCAGGCTTAGAGGACGGATTTGACTAGTCAGAGGAAACAGAAGAATGCAAAGTTGACATTATAGGTGAGCAGAACTTGTGAGCAAAGGTGAGACACTCCATATTAATGGCCAAATTATGAAAGGACTATTGAGTTTATGTCATGGAGGCATGAGGTTAAGGAAAGGAGGACAAGAGCTATTCCTTCATCCAGTAATTTTTAATGAACTACAAATTGTTAAGGCACAGAAATAAGCAATGAAAAAAATGGTAACTCCAAATTTCTTGGCATTTACTACCTAAGTTAATTTGAGAGAAACATGTTCATGCATTGTTCATAGATGTTTGTAAAATTGCAATCCTGTGAAATACACTGCAGGACAGGTAGATTTAAACAGAGTATACTCTCTTGTTACTGTGTCTGGCATATCGAATACTCTAAGTAGC